TTATTATCATCCTAATTTTGCCTATGAGGAAAATAAGGCACGGAGTGGCTAAGTAACTTGCCTAACGTCACACAGCTAGTAAGCAGCAGAGCTAGGTGTGGAATCCAAGCAATCTGGTTCCAGAGCCCAAGCTCTTAACCAGAAGGTTATGTTGCTTTATATAGATAAAGAAATAGAGAGGTGAGGATGCTGGAGCTAGAAGGGGCATTGGATGTAATCAACTCTAAACTTTTAATTTCATAGGTGAAAAAGCAGGCTGAGAAAGGGGAAGAATGTATCCAAAGCCGCAGTAACGTAATGGCAGTGTTACAAAAATCAGTTTTACTGAGATCATAGGCCAGGCATGGTGGCTCATGCCTGTAATGCCAGCACTTTGGGAGGCTGAGGCAGGTGGATTGCTTGAGCCTAGGAGTTCGAGACCAGCCTGAGCAACATGGTGAGACTCTGTCTCTACAAAGAAATACAAAAAATTAGTTGGGTGTGATAGTGCATACTTCTAGTCCCAGCTACTTGGGAGACTGAGGTGGGAGGATCATCTGAGGCTGTCGAGGCTGCAGTGAGCTGTGATTGAACCACAGCACTCCAGCCTGGGTGACAGAGGGAGACCCTGTCTCAAAAAAAATTATATTTGGGACTCAAAAACTGAACAATAGAAACTTTAAATTTTCATGGAAAAACCCATAAGATTATATTGCAGTGCAGGACGGCCCACTAACAATCACATGCTGCTTAGGGTCCCAAGTGAGGACCCTGAGGGCTGCTTAAAGGGGTGCAGGGGGAGGTCAGCAGGTGAGAAGGATCATGACTTCTCCTCTGCACCAATTGGATCATCTCTCCTTATCTGTTTACACATGGGGCTGTGCATGTGATTTTGTTTGTGAGGATGCTTTTGCTGCCAGAACATGCTGGAAGCCCCTGCCTGCACATGCCCAGGGTAGGAGGCCAGCAGGGGCAGCTCTCCGGCCCAGGGAAAGAGGAGACCCTGGGTGCAGACCCCCATGCCTGTGCAGACCCCTATGCCTGTACAGACCCCAGTGCCTGGCTCTCAGGAGTGCCCATCTCTCACTGCCCTTGCTGGCCTCTCCCTAAAATGCTGATGGCCCTTTTCTGCAGAATCTCTGATCCCCATATTGGCTCTGGCTCCCCAAGAATGACTCAGGCCTTGTGGGGCAGCTGAGGTTGGGTGACTGAGTGAGGTGAGGGTGCCTGCCTGGCCAGGGAGGGCAGAAGAGCTTTCCCACATCGCACAGCGGGTTTGGAGCTGAGAGTGACAAGCCCTCAGGATCCCTTAATCCCAGGGCTGAGTGTAAGGGCTTGCCTCCTTCACCCAGAAAGCTCTGAGCAAACATTCCCTCCACCTGGCTCCACACCCCTCTCAGCTGCTCATCCCTCTGTTATGAGATCGGGAACAGCTGCCAAACAAGGAGAGGTCACGGGGCGAGGGCGGGAGCAGAATCTGCGTGTGGGGGTCTGGGGAGGCGCAGGGGACCAGCTTTTAGCTGCGGCTGCTGGGTAGAGGCACCTAGCCGCCTGCCTCCGGCTCAGATATGAAGATGTCTTTCCCATTTTCAGGGAAAGAAACTCATCTCTCTTCCTTTCTCACTCTAGGGTGTAAAGGTGCTCTTGCATAAGAAGTTCTTCCTCATGTCTGCCTTTGGTTTCTTAGGATTTGAAGATTTTGGGAGCTTCTTGCAATTCTGATTTAATAATAAGGACGCAGAATGTGGGTCTAGACTAGAACTTTCTTCCTGTTTGGATTGGGTTTATCGTAGGATTTGTCATGAAATTAGTTTGGATTTAGTTGATTGGAGGACACGGAGCTGGCCCCTGAGGACAATGTCATACCTTATCGGGTACCTGTAAGGACAGGGCCACACCAACCAAGCAATCGACCATGTGCTGAGGGTTAAGGACAGAAAGGAGCAGAGCCGCATCTGTGGAGCTTGCAGCCTGCTGGCCAGACCCCACGGCTGTCCTGGTGCACCATGAGCTACAGGGCTGTGTAAGTTGCTGTGTATTTTTTTCCCTGCAGATTCTGTGTGAGCCACTCACTCATATGAAACATTGTACCTGCCATTTTATACATTGTAAGTTCACAAGCTTTGAAGTCAGACAGATAGGACTTGACTTCCCATCTCATCCACTTCCTGGCTGTATGATCTCAGGCAAGTTACATACCCCTCTGAGCCTCAATGTCTGCAGCTCCAAACTGGACATAGGAAAACACCTCTTTGGCAGGGCTGTTGGAGGAAGCACCTAGTGTTCAGAATATAACGTAGTTCCAAGAGAGAATCTCTTCTACCCACGAGGCACCGCTGCCTTTCCTTTATCTTCCTTCTTGTATCAGGGATGGCACACCTCAAGTCACCTTTATAAGAAGTACCCCAATTGTAGCTCTATGGTTTGGGCGCCCCATAGGCACAAAATAAGACTGATTGCATATTTTATATTGTTTCCATGAAAACCCCCTTCACTCCTGGCTTGCTTTTTGTCCTAAGCACTGAACACAACTCTAGGGACACTGAACCCACATCATTTTCTCTTAGCGTTGGAGTGTTACAGCCATGGAGTTAAAGACACAACGAGCACATTGTGAGCCATCTCAGGGATTCACCTGTACTCAGGCAAAGCCCCTACCCTGGCCTGTGATAGTCCCTATCAAATGCCAGGGGCTACCAGAGAAGAAAGTAGTGAATGGCAGGTGCAGAGGCTGAGGCGAGGCAGCTGGGGGGCTGAGCTCTGGCCCGGACTCAGGGTGAGATCCTGATGGCCCTGACACGTCTTCTGGGGGATGAAACCAGTCAATTGGACCTCAGCTTCCCAAAGGGGAGGCTCACATGTCTCCTCTGCTCCTGCAGCTGCAGTCCTCAAAGACCTGGGGTAGCTCCCACCCTTTTTCCAAGCCATGCCCATCTTAGGAGCAAGAGCGGAAATTGATAGACCCTGGTAGCCCCTTTGACCCAAACAGCCGGTTCGGTCAGGTTTATTCTGGTGCCCATTCTGGATTGGTTGTGACACAATTTAGACAGAGTGGCTTTATGCCAGCTGGAATGGTGTGAGGAAGAGGCCATAGAGTATGGAGCCTTTGGGATCAGACTGATGTGAGTTTAAATCCTGGCTTTACCACGTGCTATTGTGTGACCCTGGTAGCTACTTTACTTCTCTGAGCTTCTGTAAGCAAGGCCAATGGTGCTGACTGCATAGAGCCTTTAAGTAGGCTAGTTGATCAAGTATATGTAAGGCATCCAGCACAGGGCTGGGCACAAAGTTGGCACTTGGCGAATCTGGGCTGAAAGGATCAGTGAAAGTCCAACCCTTCCTTCTAGGAGATGGTTCTGGCTCTAGAATGCTCACCTACTACAGGTGGACTGACCCATGACCTGGGCATTCTTTGGTGATGAAGTCCAGAACCTCCAGTCCCTATGGCCACAGCCCTTCCACCACCTCTCCACTTACTTAGGGGCCATCCGGGCAGAGACAGACCAGAGGTAGGGGTGAGAGGGGTTGGAGGAATGGGGATAAGGGAGGAAGTGGCTGGAGAAGGAGCTGGCTGAGTTCCCAGCCAGCCTGGCCTTCCCTGCAGCCCTGCGTCTGGGGTGGGATCTGCTGACCACTCTGTCCTCAGCACTGGCCCCTGCCCTCTCTCTGTGCATGGAGGGAGCCATTTACTCTCCCTGGCCAGCTTTCATTCAGCTGGGGGCAGCTTGGGTCTGTGGGATTATCCAGGACCTGGGGTCATTTCATCTATGAGGAAGTGAGGAAAAGAGAAAGAACAAAGACACAGATTTCTCCTTGTAAATGGCAATGGCAAAGCCTCGGCAAGAAGAGAATGAATGCCTGCTGACCCCCCTATATGCCAGGCACCATGGGGACATTGTCTCATTACTTGTGAGGCAGGTCTTCCATCTCGTAGATGAGAAGATGGATTAAATAGTGCATTAGTCCATTATCACACTGCTAATGAAGACATACCCAAGACTGGGCAATTTACAAAAGAAAGCGATTTATTGGACTTACAGTTCCACGTGGCTGGGGAGGCCTCACAATCATGACAGAAGGCGAAAGCCACTTCTTACATGGTGGCAGCAAGTGAGAGAATGAGAGACAAGTAAAATGGGTTTCCCCTTATTAAACCATCAGATCTCGTGAGACTTATTCACTACCACGAGAACAGTATGGGGGAAACTGCCCCCAGCATGTGGGAATTATGGGAGTACAATTCAAGTTGAGATTTGGGCAGGGACACAGAGCCAAACCCTATCGGATGGGTTCAGAGTGGTTAGATGGCCCGCCCGAGGTTGCACAGTGAGTTAGCAGCAATAGGTGGGGTTTGAACACAGATCTGTTACATTCAGCTGGGAAGAATTTAACTTATGGCTGAAAACTAGGATTTTGCATTTAAAAACATTGCTCTGAGAAGGGATCCATAAGTTTCATCATTCTGCCAAAGGGATCCCCAGCACCAAAAAAGTTAGGAACTCCTGCCCTGAATGCTGCACCATTATAGAAAAACAACGTGCCCAGCAAACCACTGGGCAGCAAAAACTGGAGCAGCAGAGCGCACGCCGCCAGGCCCCCGCTGGAGAACGCCGTCGAAATCGTGCAAGCACAGACTGAAGGGAGGCCTGCGAGGCAGCACGTGGACCCAGGGCTGAGAAAGGCAGTCAGGGTTTTCTTAGGGGAGGGTTTTGCCTCCCTGCATCTCTGCCTCCTTAGTACCTAGCTCCATGCCTGGCGGGTTCTCAGCAGCTGTTGGCCAAGTTGAAGTGAGTCTGGATCAGGTTTGGAAGGCTAAGGCTGGAATACAGAACATTTCCCCTTCTTATGGGGCTAAGTACATGTGGAGGAATAAGAATGCTAAGAAGCTAAGAATAACAAATATACATGTGGCTCTTGACAGTTCACAGAGCACTCCATCAATCACTAGCTCACTCTAACCTGAGAAGTGGTAAGGCAAATATTTGTATTACTTTCAATTTACAGGTAAAGCAACTGGGCCTCAGAGGGTGACTTGCTCAGGTTTGCAGGGCTAGGAGGTGGCAGGCTGTGCGCTCAAACTCAGGCCTTCTAATTCCACATTCTGTGGGGTGAGAGGATGGGTGATGGGGTGTCTTTTCTGGAGGAGGGAGGTGCTGTGAGGCTGGTGAGATGGAGGTGCAGTGGGTGGGGGCCTGGAGGGCTGGGCCCAGCCAGAGGATTCTGATTAGGAGGCCCTGGGGCATCGGTTCAGGTTCTCCCAGAGGGGATTGTGATGGGATCCAGTAACCTGTGCCCTCCAGATGACTTCTGTAGGTGTGTTTAGTGACATGCTCAACAGGTGCGGGAAGGATGGGGCTGTGCCAAGGGCCAAGCCCAAAGATGTTTCAGATTTTTCCCTTTATGCCCCTGCAACCAAGCCCTGCTGCTCCAGCAGATAAAAGGGACCCAGGCTGAGGGCTCCAATATTCACCAGCCTGGGCTATCGCTTCTCTGACAGCTCCCAGCTCACTATCTTCTCTGCAACCATGATTGCCAGACAGCAGTGTGTCCGAGGCGGGTCCCGGGGCTTCAGCTGTGGCTCGGCCGTTGTAGGCGGCATCAAGAGACGTGCCTTCAGCTCAGCCTCCATGTCTGGAGGTGCCGGCCGATGCTCTTCTGGGGGCTTTGGGAGCAGGAGCCTCTACAACCTTGGGGGGAACAAGAGCATCTCCATGAGTGTGGCTGGGTCACGACAAGGCGCCTGCTTCGGGGGTGCTGGTGGCTTCGGCACTGGTGGCTTTGGTGCCGGTGGCCTTGGAGCTGGTTTTGGTGCTGCTGGCTTTGGCGGTGGATTTGGGGGCTCCTTCAGTGGTAAGGGTGGCCCTGGCTTCCCCGTCTGCCCTGCTGGGGGAATTCAGGAGGTCACCATCAATCAGAGCCTGCTGACCCCACTCCATGTGGAGATTGACCCTGAGATCCAGAAAGTTCGCACGGAGGAGCGTGAACAGATCAAGACCCTCAACAACAAGTTTGCCTCCTTCATCGACAAGGTGAGCTGTGTCCTCGGCTGGAGACGGGCAGTTAGAAGAGAGGGGTCCTGCCGGGCGTGGTGGCTCAAACCTGTAATCCCAGCACTTTGGGAGGCCGAGGCGGGTGGATCACGAGGTCAAGAGATCGAGACCATCCTGGTCAACACGGCGAAACCCCGTCTCTACTAAAACTACAAAAAATTAGCTGGGCATGGTGGTGCGTGCCTGTAATCCCAGCTACTCAGGAGGCTGAGGCAGGAGAATTGCCTGAACCCAGGAGGTGGAGGTTGCGGTGAGCCGAGATGGCGCCATTGCACTCCAGCCTGGGAAAAAAGAGGAACACCAGCATTCAAAAAAAAAAAAAAAAAAAAAAAAAAGAAGAGAGGGGTCCTGAGTTCTGGTGTCTCAGACCTGAGCCTGCCACAGGTGCTGGGAAGACCACTAAAGTTCTCCGGGCCCCAATTCTTCAGCTGTTGAAGGGGAATCATGACTCCGAGCCTTCCTTTTTCGTCCCATGGCTGGCGGGAAGATGAGACGCTCAAGGCAGTTAAATGTCTGAATTCACTAGGCATGCTGTGGGACACTGGACAAATCATCTGGCTTTTCTGGCTCTAGTCATCCCAGCTATAAAGTGGGTTCATTATTTCCCTGCTTCTTCTCAATTTTGGTTTTGAATATATTGCAGTTAGCTCCATTAATTGTTTAACAATTGCCACTTCTGTTCTTGGAACAGAAGAAAACCAAGCTGATTTTGCAAATGAAAAAGGGACTAGCTCCAGTGTCAGAGTCTAGGTCTCACCAGGGCCTTGGAAATTTACCTTTTTCATTCGCTTGACTCTGGGCAACACTGGGTCTGTTCAAAGAGAGGAGGAGGCAGGTCTCTTTTCTTTTGTAGCCCAACTTCCTTTTTTATGCAAGGTCTAGAAGTTCAAGTTCGTTAAGCTCAGTTACAGTCATGCATGATGGATGATAGGGAGCCGTGATGCCCCAGAGAATCGAGTCATCCAAAGATTGATGACTGGGTGATGAGTGCCGCCCTTGGGCCCAGCTTGCCCTGGCTCACCAGGCGTTAAAGTCTCAGGTAGCTTCAATGGAAGGGGCAAGAATGAACAATCTTGGAGTAGATCGAGGGGCATATTTGCTCTTCTCGTTAGTTTGAATAAACCCATAATGGCTTAAAGAGGTTTTACTGTGACTGTAGGACATACAGATATGACAGCAAAAACTCAGGGCTCTTCGATGCATCTTTGTCTCATCTCGCCTTGGTTTACCTTTTGGGTTCAAAATGGGATCAGTCTCCCTTACCTGCTTTCCTTTTAATTCTGAGGCTCATAAAGTGGAAATGTCATGCTAAGCTGCTATCTTAATTTGTCTGGCTAGATTTTTTTCATAGAGGGAGGGAAAGTTCAGGGGAGCCTTTTGCAGAATGGAGTTTAGGTGAGACTCCCACTGTGTATACGGTGCTGGTTTTAAATAGCTATACTCAGTTGTGTTCATAGGGACATACCAAGTCCATTGATAAATAAACTTATTTAAAAAGTCTTTAGTGGCTTTATCTTTCATTTGCCTTGGGTCAGGGTCACTTTAATGCAACAGCCTCCAGAGTGTGGTGTCTCCTAATTTTATTTTGTTATTTCGTAAAAGTTTACCGTTCTTCTCTGGGGCTTTGGATGCCTGTGGTTAGGAAGTTGTTCTTGCTGCACTGTGAGGCCTTGCTGCTCTGGCTGTGCTCTGTTCTCCACAACCCATGTGGCTCCTCTGGCATTATGGGCTTGAGAGTGGGGCCATCATGTTGACCCGAGTGAATGGTGCCCTGGAGATGCAACATGGTGGCCCTACATGGGTGGTTCTTGGGCCGTGTGGTTGCCTCGGATTGATTGGCTTGGTGGTACCCTTGGCTGGCCCTCCTGCTACACTTCAGGCCCTCATCAGTTGGCTGGGTCCTTTTTCAACACAGGTGCGATTCTTAGAGCAACAGAATAAGGTCCTGGAGACCAAATGGAACCTGCTCCAGCAGCAGACGACCACCACCTCCAGCAAAAACCTTGAGCCCCTCTTTGAGACCTACCTCAGTGTCCTGAGGAAGCAGCTAGATACCTTGGTCAATGACAAAGGGCGCCTGCAGTCTGAGCTGAAGACCATGCAGGACAGCGTGGAGGACTTCAAGACCAAGTACGTGGGGAGGAGGGAGAGGACACCATCGGACACATGTGCCCAGCCTTGCCCCAGGCTTCTGGGGCTCTCCCCAGTGGCTTAGAATCTCTCAGGCTCTGAAGACATCCCAGGGGGTCTAGGAAGGACCTCTAGTCTGTTTTCCTATATCCACATAAGTCATATTTTCATAGGGTGAGGTCTAGTAATCACAAGTTGTTCCAAACAGAAATTTAATGATAGATTCAGGGATTTGGGTTTGCCATATATAAGCAAGATCAGAAACCAAACAGATGAAAAGCAGTATAGTATGGTCAGAAGAATACAGGCTGTAGAGACAGATGGAGCTGGTTTGCATACTGATTCTTCACTTACTAGCTGTGTGACCTTGGGTAAGTTGCTGAACCTCTCTGAGCTTCAGTTTTATTCATCTCTGAAATGGGAATGCTATTCCTACTTTATGGGTTGTGAGAATTAAATGAGATGAAATGAAATAGAGAAAGCATGTGGCATATTTCAGGCCACAGAGTGAACACTGAATACACAGTAACTCTCATTAAACTCACTATGGGATAGGACCAACCCTCTCTCTCAATTCACTCATTCACCAGACAAAGGGAAATGGAGTGTGCTGATGACACTGCTAAGAATTTAATCTGCCAAACGGCCAAAAGGACAGCCCTTCCACGGACATTAAATCAACTACATCATTGCTGGGTTTTCTCCGGAAAACAGTCTCTTTAAAGTTTGGTTTTCATGTCTCTGAATAAACCCTGGCCTAAACTGGTACTTCCTATATTCCATGAATGTAGGTTAAATAAAGATCTGTATGAACATGGGAAATGTAACTATTTACCTGGATATTTCCAAATTTGTTTGGACATGTTTAAATAAGCAGCAGAGATCTGAGAGCCACCGGCTCACAGTGGGCTTTTGCCTTTTTCTCCCTGTGCCCACCCCTAGGTATGAAGAGGAGATCCACAAACGCACAGCAGCTGAGAATGACTTTGTGGTCCTCAAGAAGGTAAGAGATGAAGGATGGTAGGGAGTTGCCTTCCCTTGGGGAGTGGTCTTTGGCTGAAGTCATGGGTTTGGTCTGTCTCTGCCTCATCTCCGCTGCACTTGGAACTATCCAGATCTATACAGTCAAAAAAAGCGGGTCACCAAGCCAGGTCCTAAGGAATTCAAGTTGGATGGAAAGCCTATTTTTGTTTATTTTTATAAATTTGTGGGTACAAGCGTAATTTTGTTACATGGATAGTTTGTGTTGTGGTGAAGTCAGGGCTTTTATCCATTGCTGGAATAACATACATTGTATCCAATAAGCAGTTTCTCATTATTCCCCCTCCCTGTCTCCTTCAGGTGTCCATGGTGGATCACTCCATGCGCTATGTCCATGTGTACACATAATTTAGCTCCCACTTATAAGCAAGGACATGTGGTATTTGTCTTTCTGTGCCTGAGTTATTTCACTTAAGATAATGGCCTCTGGTTCCATCCACATTGCTGCAAAAGACATGATTTCATTCTCTTTTTATGGCTGAATAGTATTCTATTGTGTATATGTACCACATTTTCTTTATCCAATGGTCCGCTGATGGACACTCAGGTTGATTCCATATCTTTGCCGTTGTGAATTGTGCTGTGATAAACACGAGTGCAGGTATCTTTTTGTTACAATGATTTCTTTTCCTTTAAGTGGAATTCCAGCAGTGGGATTGCTGGATCCAAGGGTAGTTCTATTTTTAGTTTTTTGAGAAACCTCCATACTGCTAGAAAAGCCTATTTGGATAATTAACTTCCGTGTCTTCAGGGGGCTTTAGGGGCAGAATATGTAAAATAGCTGGTCTCCACCAGCTCACATGCTGCTGGGTAGTCTTTCCTAAATGCTGTTGAGAACACCCATGGGTGTCAGTTAGCACCCTGTTCCCTCACTGCCATTCCTGCTCCTCATCTCTTATCCTCCTTCCTCCTCTGCAGGATGTGGATGCTGCCTACATGAACAAGGTGGAGTTGGAGGCTAAGGTGGACAGTCTTAATGACGAGATCAACTTCCTGAAGGTCCTCTACGATGCGGTGAGGGTCCATCCTCCCTTTCATTCAGGAAAAGGGAATCCCCCATCTGTGAGGCTGCCAGTTGGGATTTACACCTCTTTGAGAGGACTCCAGCTCCCTCATTTTAGGGTAGCGGGTTCTCATCAAGGTTGTGCATAGAAAGGTTTAAAGTGGGAAATTCAACAGGGAGATTCTTAGAACCAGATGTGGTCTCAGAAGGGCTGATTAGATCTAAAGAGTGCTTGCAATAGAATTCATTGCTGTCTAGCATTTTTCTGGTGAAATGGATCCATTCCATTCCCTTTGACGAAACACACCAGCACTCGCTGCATTTGACAAAGTGGCTTACGGTTTCTGGGGACCAGTAAAGACTAGAATCATTGCTCTTCCATCCTGAGCTGTCATATCCACTTGATTTCTGCTTAGAACTTTACCCATGTCTCCCCTTCCTACACATTGGGAATGCCATCTCTGCTCCTATCTGAGCCTCTGTCAGGTCAGTGAAGACTTTCCTGGGGGGCTGATGTGAGATATTTGCCCTGCAGGAGCTGTCTCAGATGCAGACCCATGTCAGTGACACGTCCGTCGTCCTCTCCATGGACAACAACCGCAACCTGGACCTGGACAGCATCATTGCCGAGGTCCGCGCCCAGTACGAGGAGATCGCCCAGAGGAGCAAGGCTGAGGCTGAGGCCCTGTACCAGACCAAGGTGGGTGGTGTGGATCTCTCAGGAGATGGGGCTGGCTCTGGGCTCTGCTTTTGATGTCTGTGAACAGGTAGTTTTTAGCTCAAGCCCAACAGAAGTCAGGTATGAACAGACTCTCCTAGGAATCATTGGTCCTGGTCTGATTAGAAATTACTTGACATTTGGTGTTATTCTTGCCACCTGCGGCAATTCTCACTGAGTTCACTTGAGAATGGACCCTACCCAAATGCCTCTGACCCCCAGTTCTCTGTGTCTCCTTGGGTATTAGGTCCAGCAGCTCCAGGTCTCAGTTGACCAACATGGTGACAACCTGAAGAACACCAAGAGTGAAATCGCAGAGCTCAACAGGGTGATCCAGAGGCTGCGGGCAGAGATCGAGAACATCAAGAAGCAGGTGGGTGTCGCTCCCTTCCAGATGGAGCACAAGGCCAGGGGCCTTAGGCAGGCATCTCCAGAGTGGACAAGCAGATAAAGCATCGGGCCAGAAGACCCCGAGCTTGTTGCAGGGAATTCATAGCTCTTTGTGCAAGCCACACCCAGACCTTTTCACCAATATCATAGTTGGCCCACCAAAACGCTCCTGTCTATAGGTTTCTTGGCTCTTCTTCATTGGTTCTTGGCAATCTTTATTCAATCAGTCTGGTGGAGGCATTTGTGGGCTATGGCTGGAGTGAATGACACGTGTAAGTGTCAGGGAAAGTGGGCAGAACACATAGAATCTTGACGTCCTAGTCCTAACCCAAGAAAAGATGGCCCAGGGGAGGGGACAGGTGTAGAGGCTTTGAAAGCAGGGAACTGCTGACTGCCTATCTAATGCCCTTGTCAATAGTGCCAGACTCTGCAGACATCCGTGGCTGATGCAGAGCAGCGTGGTGAGAATGCCCTTAAAGATGCCCACAGCAAGCGTATAGAGCTGGAGGCTGCCCTGCAGCAGGCCAAGGAGGAGCTGGCACGGATGCTGCGTGAGTACCAGGAGCTCATGAGTGTGAAGCTGGCTCTGGACATTGAGATTGCCACCTACCGCAAGCTGCTGGAGAGCGAGGAGTGCAGGTGAGGGTGTAGGCAGGGTGTGGACATGAGGGGTGGAGAGGTCCAGGGCCATGAGTTTGTGCTTCTGCTGGGCTGCATGCATCAGTGCTGTGCTGGTGCATTACAAACCAGGACAGCTGGGATCACAGGCTCACACTGCGCCCTCAAACTCAGAGGCTGCTCAGAGATAAGAGAGGCAAGTGAGGCCTGCTAACTGAATGAAGCTCTGCACTCCCCGAGGCTCACCGTCTTTTCTTTCCCCCACAGAATGTCTGGAGAATGCCCGAGTGCTGTGAGCATCTGTAAGTACCTTCTGCACCTGCTGTAGTTGTTCCTTCACCCAGATCTTGGCCGAGACCCCGGGCTGCTGGCACTGTTGGAATAACTGTGTCCTTTGCATCTCCCCTGCAGCTGTGGTCAGCAGTAACACCAGCACTGGAGGCATCGGTGGAGGATTTGGAAGTGGCTCCGGGTTCGGCCTGAGTAGTGGCTTTGGCTCAGGCTCCGGAAGTGGCTTTGGGTTTGGTGGCAGTGTCTCTGGCAGCTCCAGCAGCAAGATCATCTCTACCACCACCCTGAACAAGAGATCCTCCCGATAGAGGAGACGCGGTCCCTGCAGCCCCCTGAGCCCAGCTGGGCCCAGCACTGGTGTCTGTGCTTCCTTCACTTCGCCTCCATCCTCCCTCTCTGGGGCTCGTCTTACTAGTGTCCCCTCCACTATCCCATGGGCTCTCTCTGCCCCAGGGTGATCTGTGCTGGGATGGGGATTCTGCCTCTTGGAGTTTGGTAGCTTCTTCTTGATTTGGGCCTGGTGACCTACCTGGAATGGGAGGGATGTCAGCTGACCTCTCACCTCCCACGGACAGAGAAGAAAATGACCAAGAGTGTCATCTCCAGAATTACTGAGGTCACATATGTCCCTTCCCAGCCCAACACCATCTCCCAGCAGATCCTGGATTATCCATCTACATCAGAACCAAACCACTTCTCCATCACCTGGCAGTACCTGGCCCTACAAACTTAGGACAAGAACCACTCAGTGTCCCGTTCTCTCCTCTCATTCCCTCTTATCATCTGCAGGTGAATCTTCAATAAAATGCTTTTGTCATTCATTCTGAGCAATGGTCTTTGTTCCCTGGGGAGAGGTCTCTAGAATCCTGTATAACCAGATGATTTAGGTGAAGGTGGATGCTTGAGGGTCTGAAGGATCTGTCCACACAGATCGGGGCCATCTACTAATTTTTCAGGTCTCTACTTCTAAGTTGCTCGAATTTTTGGGGGAGAAGTACAGTGTATAGAGGCTGAAGGCTGCCTACAGGGTGGTTGTACAGATTCAAGAGGCAGCCAGCACTTATAAACACACTGTTGATTGTAGGGCACCCCGGGGCAGCACTGTTTCAATGCTGATCCTGGACTGAACCTAAGTCTGCAGGGTGGGTGGAGGGTGGCATTTGACAGGTATGAGAGAGGCAGGCCAGGGGTTTCTGCTGAATATAGAGCAAGAAGTTATGGACCTAATGAGAGTGCTTATCCTCTGTGTCTAGCCAGGCCTCCCTGTTTTCATGAAATTCCATGCATGGGGCTAAACCTCACTGGACCAACAAGACTTTCAGGAAACTGTTCCAAGGTTGCGGGAAGGAGGCGTGCATGCGTGTCATTCTCCTGGAGCTTTCACAAGCTGCTCACTTCCCCAGCTCCTCAGCGGTGCCTGGGGTTATGTCTGTGGTGCTATCCCTGAGTGGCAGAGAATGGCAGAGGTGGAGCAGGTCTTCTGGAGCAGCAGTGGAGGGAGCTGTTTGATTACAGAAGCAGGGAAGGGACAGTCAGAGGTGGGGGTCCGGGCAGAGCCTTTGACAACATCCTTTTTCTATACTGGACCAATTCCAAGTACCTGGAGCAGCACAGTCTCTCCTTTTCCAAAGACTTCCTAGGTCCTGCTCTGCAGTCTGGCGCAAATCTGTTTGCTGCAGATGCAAAATGCACTCTCTGTCTTGGCCACCCAACTGTGCCTCCCACCCTTGACTACCACAGAGTTCATTCAGACTCCAGTTTCTCCAGCCCTGTGCTCACGGGGCCTCATGGTGTGCAGGCAGAAAGGCATATAGTTTGCTCAGGACCAGTCCCTACCCATGGGGCCCTCGTGCAGATCCAAGGTAGCTCAGGGTTACTCTGCCTTTGGGAAAGCCGAGACAGAGCAGCAAAGGGTTAATCTCAGGGGCTTGTGCTGTCTGAGCAGAGGACTTTTCCAGGGGCAGCCTGGGCTCTATCCTTCACCTGTTCGGCCCTAGTGTCCCATGGTCTTAGGGCTCATTGAGCCCCATATGTCTGAACAGGAAGTCTCTGCAGCCACATTTGGCGGCTTTGACTTCTTCCCAGGACTGCTCTCCTTCCCTGGCAAAATGCTGATGGGCTCTTTTTTTTTGAGTTTCTGGGGTGGGGAGGGGGAGTTAAGGGTTGAAAGTAGGGGTGGAGTTTCTCAGGTTCACCCACCAGGAGGTTGCAGGATGGGCCCCACTGAGAGGCAAGGGGCAGGTTAAAGCATTTCCCATGCCCCCTGAGCAAGGGAAGTGTGGGAGCAGCCAGCCTGAGCGGCACTCCACGTTTCTGTGTCTCTTTGGTTGAACTCAGTGATTTACACTGCAAGGTCAGGCCATAGATTACATGTGCATCTTAGAATAAATGTGTTTGTACTCACAGGCACATGGCTATGTGAGTGTGTCGGTGTTTCTTATTTATATAAAAAGTCTCCTATTTTACATAAAGGAGGAAAAACCCTCATGTTGGCCTCTGTTTCTAGAATAGTCCAGGGGAGTGGAACCTGACCTTGATTTACATGTTTGAAGCTGGCTGGTAGTCAAAGGGGATGATTTGGGGTAAATATACTGCTGAGATAATAGGCACCACCTCTCTCTCTGATCCTTCAAATTGGATTCTGGCCAGCTCCTAGTGCTCAGGGAACAGGGAGGCATAGTTTGCATTTACCTAACCCGTTGGAGGCCCTGTGCTCTCCCTTTTCTTTTAAATGCTTCCCCCCTAAGTATATGGAAATCCCTTTTCACATCTGAAGGGCCCAATTGCAGGTTGGCAAATCCCTAATCCACCCATTCACCCATTCATCCATCCATCCATTCACCCATCCATCCATCTATCTATCCATTCTCCCATCCATCCATCCATCCATCCATCCATCCATCCATCCATTCACCCATCCATCTAACCATCCATCCACCCACCCATCCATCCATCCATCCATCCCTTCACCCATCCATCCACCTATCCATCCATCCACCCATCCATCCATCCATCCATCCCTTCACCCATCCATCCACCTATCCATCCATCCACCCATCCATCCACCCACCCATCCATCCATCCATCCATCCCTTCACCCATCCATCCACCTATCCATCCATCCACCCATCCATCCATCCATCCATCCATTCACCCATCCATCCATCTATCCATCCATCCACCCATTCATTCATCCATCCATCCATTCACCCATCCGCTCATTTCCTCAACAAATCACTAGTCTAAATGTTTTGTGGACAAGGACCAGGACTTTATTCATCTTGATGTTCCAGGGCCACTGTGCTTGCCATATAGTAGCTGTTTAACAAGTGTTAATTGAACAGTGTTTACTGAGTGCCTAGTTTGTGCTGGGCAATGGGGTCCCATTATACAAATAAGAATTAGACTTTGTTTTCAAGGAGCTTTCAATACAGACGATAATGTCTAGATAAAAATATGTACATAAATAACTTGGTAAACAGATAGACAGATGAATGCCTTTGGAAGTCACAAATGAAGGACATGACAGTCCAAGGAGAGTAAAATTTCTTCTAGTCTAGAGTGGGGGGTTGGCAATCACAGGAGGCTTCATGTAGGAGGTGGTACTGGAGTGGGGTCTTGAGGCAGAAGCAGGCCCTAGATGCTGGAAACAGAGGCAGGTGCTCTCCTTACAGAGGGAAGGACTCTGATCCCTCAGAGGAGTCCTTTCTTCTAGAAGTCTTCTATGAGCGGCTCCACCTCTTTGGAACGCCCTGCTGTTCTGTCTCCCTGAGACCTCCTCAGACTGGATTTTGGTCACACTCCTTTTTCTGTGCAGTGTCCTGTGAAGCTGCAGCATTTCCCCTATTGGACTGGGAGGTCCTTCTCCTGTGAATCCACCACCCAAGAGCACATCAGGGGCAGGTGCTTCAGCTGGACAAGCCTTGTTGAGCACCTACACTGTGTCAGGCTCTGTGTGAGGACGTGAGGATTTAAAGCTTATTGCAGTGTGGTTCTCACCCCTGAGAAGGGCATAGTTTAATACGAATATAGTGCATGAGTGTGGGGAACGGAGACACATTAAGTACACATTTTCCATACTTTCAGGAAAATGTTAAAAGGAATGGTGTATGCAAGCATTGAGGCTCTGGAAGCTTAAGGGAGAAGCATTTGCTTTTGCCAGGGATTCAAGGAAGGCTTCCTGGAGGAAATGACACCTGTGAAGCCAGCCATGTAAAAGGGATGTGGACCTGGAGCTTGAGAGAGGGTTTCAGGGGAGCAGGGTGCTCTCGGCAGCAAGAATTGGAGAGTAAAGGCAGGGAAGTGGGGCTCAGTGCAGTACTAAAGCAAAAGCAACTTAGCGTCACTCAAGACAGGACAGGGAGTGGTGGGAGAGGACACTAGAGAGAAAGGTGGAGGCCAGGCTGTGGAGGATACGGGATGGCCCATTGTCCAATTTGTTTGGGGTTTGGGCTTCATGTTCCAAGACTAGACAAGCTCAGAACAAGGCGTGTCTGAGAGATTAAGCTCAGAAACAGATGAGGAGGTAGCTCTGGGCCACCTGCTCTCAGGGTGTGGCCTGGAGGCCCATGATGTGCTTTGAATTCCGGTCTGGGAACCACCACTTTGTACTTCCCTCCCCTGCCACGCAGCTGTAACACTAAGCCTTGCCATGGCTCCGCCTCCTTTTCCACTCTTGTTTCCTATGAGGGTGTGTTTCCAGGAAGAAGAGGTTGGCTGTCATTCTTTGTCTCTTGGCAGAATGGTCTCTCACCTCAAACACTGACATCCATTCCTTTCCTTTGGTATTTGTTGAGCACCTTTCATATGCTAGGGGCTATGAATTGCTGTTTAAAATCCCCTTAGGTTACTTACAGTATCCCCTAGTCCCCTTATTTTCTATCCTGATTGTACCCCTTGCTTTATGTCCAACTGGATCCCCTCAAATTCCTCAGTGGAGACAGATCCATGCTTTTCAAATAATTACATTGAGAAATAAATGTAATTTTTCTCTCAAATTCCTCTTTCCCAGGTTAGAGGACCACTTAATGCTTTTTTTCACCTCCGCTTTTATCTTTTGTTTCAAGACAACTGTTTAATAACTTCCTAAGATCTTTTGGGAATTTTTCGGTGAGAACAAGGTTGTGATTTCTGCTGTGTACAAGCCTCTGGTTTGAGCAGGCCTGCCAGCCAGACATAATTCAGCACAAATATAAATGGACAGCTCTTATCATGCAGAGGAATCTTATGTAAATAGAGCCTTATTCAGAGCAAATTTTTTTTTCTCCATTTTTACTGTTATGTTTATTTTCTCTGTAAGTGCTTTGTGAACGCTGTCCCTTCAAGTCTATTCTTACAGCAGGAGGAGTAAGTGAGTTATTTAAAACTAGGAAGCTGGCCGGCATGGTGCCTCATGCCTACAATTGCAGCACTTTGGGAGGCTGAAGCGGGAGGCTTGCTTGAGCCTAGGAGTTCAAGACCAGAAATAAAAAAAATTATCTGGGCATGGTGGTGCATGCCTGTGTCCCAGCTACTTGGGAGGCTGAGGTGGGGGGATGGCTTGAGCCTGGAAGGTTGAGGTTGCAGTGAGCTGATTGTGCCACTGCACTCCAGCCTGGGCAACAGAGTGAGACACCCTCTTTCTCTCTCAAAAACACAGCACAACACAACACAATGAAAAAACCCATGCCTTACCATTCCTCCTTCCCAGGCAGGACTGATGCAAGTCAAGAGCAAAAGAAGGGGATAAAATCTCAGCTTGCACTGAAGGAAGCACAGTGCCCCTAGTCACAGACAGGAACGGGCTTCCTATTAGTTCTGGTGCACTTGAAACCACCTTCGA